TATTTACAGGGGATCAAGTCTGTTTTATTTCTCTCTTTTTCTGTCATATATCTATATACTGTTACTATGGTGAATATTCATATTAAACATGACCAAAGTTTCAAATAATGAGGTCAGCTCATGTGCAAATAATTTCTGTGATTTAAAAGCTCAGGCTTCACACTCATCTAAACACTCATTTTCAGGATGTTTTTTCCAACTCTTGGCTCTGTATGATGTCAGAGAAAGAGAGCGTCCCTAACATGGTCATCTCAGGCCATTTAACAGGTGACCAATCAGAAGAAAGTTGGCTTAATGCAATAATTTTCAGCTTCTTCTCCTAACTTGTCCTTGCCATCAGTGAAGTAAAGGTGTGAAGGAGAATTTATCAGGGGTTAGGAAAAACAAAAACTATCACACATTCACACTTAGAATCGACTCCTTGTTTCATGAAGGAACCAACAGTGAAAATTTCAGTTACAAAAGCTGGACATTTCAAAGGCAAAGCATCATAGACCCCATATAATGTAATACATCTTATTTTATTTATCTTGTTTTACCTGCTTTTAGAGATGACGCAGTTTAACTCCTTCACTCCTTCTTGGTTCAGTTTAATGCGAAGCTATAAATCTAATTTTGTCTCATACATCACTTACCCCAGCTTCCCCAAAGTAAACACGAAAGGCTGCAATGCAGCAACAGATAACTAATGCAAAGTGATCCTTAAATGCATTTTGATCAATGAATGTAGATCATCATGTGGATTTGGAAAATTTATATAAATCATAGTGTCGTGGTCTCCTAACAAGTGATGAATAGACTTATGCAGCACCTTTAGCTGAGCACTCACAGCTAAATCCACCGGTCTTCTGATTGGTTGCCCCACAACGAGCGAACGATCCCCAGTTTGATTCTGGGAGGAGACACAAATCCCCTGGTGGTTGTGTCATGAAGGGCATCTGGTGTAAAAATCTGCCAAATCAAACATGCGGAGCGACCCGCTGCGGTGACCCCTGGTGAATAAGGGAGCAGCCCAAAGTAGCTCGGCTATTTAAATCTGTGAGCTCCGTGCGAGGCGGCTCGTCGATAAGCAGCAGATTTTGTTCCAGCAGTGTGATTTACAGAGTTCAACTGCGAGTTTAACAGGCTGCTGTTGACAACATTTCAGCAGATTATGGCCTGAAATGAAAAACACACTTATAATAACATTTACATGATATTCGCCTCTTTGCCAGTCTTCCTGATCATCTTCATGAACGGTCAGATGGTCGGTCGCTGTGAATAACAGGATGGTATTTCCTCCTCTCTTCTCATAAAGGATGATTAAATCTATCGTCTTTTGAGGGAGGGGAGACAGGAAGCACTGAAGCTTTCTTCAGTATTTGGAGACTTCAAAAGGTTCTTATTGCGGCCCCCATGCAGATACTTCAATGCCATTTCACTTAGAAAAGTATTCAAACACACCCCCAATATAGGATGAATAAGGACTATGATTCATGCAAAGCTACCCTAAAAGACTAAAAGGATAAAAATAACATGTTGCAAACGTTGGAGTGTAGTGTACTATTGTAGTTTAAGACTGGATTGTAAAGCAGACTATTCAGCAAAAGGTGAGAAACAAACTGCATGACTAAGCAACTCCACCAGGAACATAACAGGACATGCAACAAAGCAAAGAGGAGGGCAGCACTATCGGTGCATATAACAAGTGAACATCAACACAGACAGGAAGTGAAACCCAGAGAAAACAGGAAACAACCCTACAGAACACCAATAGAGGAAACAGGGGAGGCAATAATAAAAAACTCAAGACAGGAAGCAAAATGAAATGATGAGTCAGTGCAAAGAATTAAGAAAATAAGAAAAAGAAATGTAAGTCCAACAGTACGTCTCAGATTTTAAGAAATCCTGCTGTAGAAAAGGAAAGTAGTCTGTCAGACTCTTTGGGTATAAATAGTAAAAGATAAATGTGTAAAATGACCAAAAAAAGTTCTGTTAGGCGATCGTGCAGACTGTCCTGTGACTATAAAAGATATTTTTTGTTAATTCACAGAATATATCCTTATTTTATTTTGTATTTTTAGCACTTTTGTAAAAACCAAATTTCCATAGCAGAAGATGTCGTGAAAAAAACAGGAGCTTTCTGTCGTTTAACTGTTTATCTGCTACTTATGATTTATGTTGGTGCATTATGGCTGCAAAAATACAGTTAAAAATCGAAACTCTACGTCCTCCTTCATATTTTCCAAAGCCGCCCAGTGGGCCAGACTGGAGCCCCCGGGCTTTATTTTTGACACCCTTGGGCTGGAAGCTATGCATACCGTCTGAGAGGGTCTGTAAAAAAGAATGGCACTGGCATGAATAATGGGACTCGCTGACTGAAAGCGGCGAGTCGTAGTTTGTATTCTTTACTTGTGATGAGTTAGAGCAATGAGAAGAAGAGCCAGAGGGCAGGCTCGGTTCCAGGAGAGATGAAGAGACGGCAACCAGAGAATATGGATTTCAGTGAAGGGTGCAGGGCTGCAAGCATGGATCTCCACGAGGCAAGGCAGGTAAGTCGTACAGGTAGGTAAACAGTTTCCTTAAACACGACACAGAACAAGAGACCGGAGTTACACGGTGAGAACAGAAGTCATCAGTGAGAGCCAAATTACTGCGATAGTGACATAGAAAAACGTTAAACACGAGTCCAAACATAACCAGCCTCAGCGGCCATGGCAGCATAAATGTTCCCCTTCACATTTCAGGTAAAGACCTAAGAACTAAGACTTCTAATGTATAGAATACCAACCCATTTCACAAGCTTCAATATCCTAGCTTTTCCTACTTTTGGTCATTTAATAAGAATTAATTGAGCCTGGTGTTAAAGAAAAGTAGTTGATCTTTAATTTTGCCCTTGCCCAAGGATGACAACCCAACAGCCGTGCAGGAACCAGCAGAACAAAGGTTTAACTGAAACCTTCTGCCATGCAGCTGGTGGTGCATAAAATTAAGCCTCTGTTCTCTGTCTATGAGTCCATAATTTGTGATAATATTTACATTCAAACATCAAAGTGATGCAGCTAATTACTTTATTTTACAACAGATATAGTCTTGTGGCAAATCAACACACAGTCTTTACACTCGGTAAGGATAAAGGCTGCTCCGTCTTCGACCGCCAGTGAAACTGACTTCCTTCAGCTTCAGATTTCCTTTTTGTAGCCATTCTGTGTCAGCTAGTCCACAGTTACAGGTGCTGTAGAGCTGCACATGTGTGTTTAGTTCTAGCTATAAATGGATGAGGCAGAATTTTACACTGACACGAGAGCCAGTTTAAAAACGGCAAAGGACCAGATCTGGCACAGTGTGAGATGAATAAGGATCTTTATTGAACTTTGAGTCATGCAAAGCTGAATTCTGTCTGGTATGATCATTTTTTCCTGATACATCACTTTTTGCTGAACTGAAACTGAGATTTTGTTTAATAACTCAGGGTTTTAAGGCTTTTATTTAGCCTCTAATTCCTTTTTGATTAGACGGATGTAAAAAAAAAAAAAAAAAAAAAAAAATCAATTTTGCAGGAATTTTTCAAATCTCGCTCACAGATTTGTTGTATTAATAACTGTGTCTGATTCACAGAGCCCAGGGTTGTTCAGCTTGGCCTCACAGCTGTTACTGACTAAATCTGAATCTATCTATATGCTTTTTTATTTTTAAAAAATATCCTTACACTTGAAGGATGACTAAAAGTCTTTCTGTAAGAGCCAAGAAGATCACAGTGAAAGTCATAGTTGGTTAAAAAGCGTATTCCTCAAAGAGCAGGGTTCCAAGGTCCTTGAAGCTACAACTAGCTTCCTTCTGCTTTAAATTCAACAATAATCATCATCATCATCATATTTATGTATTATTTTCTAAGTAAGCCATTAATCTTAAATCATAACCTTGGAAAAGCTGGGCATGTTATTACTTTCTATAAGACTATAAAAGAAACATTACCAGTATTGTGGCGACTGTGCTGGGAGCTCTCTGCCTGAGGTGAAAGTATTAACAGACCAAACACAGACAAAAACAGCAAAAAGTACATTTTCACGAGTATTTATGCAGCATTATCTGCACAGAAGTGTCCGGTGAAGTAATGAGGGCTTCATCAGACGTTCTTTTGTGCCCTGAAGTATGATGCAATACTGGGTTTTACTTAAGAGTTTACATATCCTTAAACTAAAACATCAGACCAGAGCACAACAGTCCCAGCAGACGTCATCCTGAATCAGCTGACAGCCCAGCTGATTCTAAGCATCTATTTAATGAATCGCATACAAACGCTGCTACTGCAGTCTGCTGCTGCACACATGCAAGCCGCTTTGCAAACCACTTCCATGAGCTCACAACACATATTTCAACACAAACACGTGACCCAGTCATAAAACAAGTCGAGAAATTTGTACCAAAGCCTCCACATGTGTGCTAACAAATGTCGTCAGCTGATCAGTAAACATCTCCTGCACAGTTATTTTAATTTTGAATTGACTAAAACTAAACTAGACTAAAATATCAACACTTTTATCAACACTATTATTTATTTTATTTTTATATATATATTTTACATTTAATAAACTATAATAGCCCCGACAGGGGCAAATAACAATAATAAAATAAATAATAGGTTCTCTGTGCCAGCGTTGATGTTATTAGTCATTCTTTTTTCCCAGCTCTAGTCGCTCAGTTTGCCTGTTGTTAAAAAGAACGATGAATCCGGAGTTTCAGAATATAAAACCAGCAGATGAAGCTGGTGTGTGATGTTCAAACGTGGAGAGCATCGTGTAACTGAGGCGTCAGTAAAATAAAAGCTCAGCACAGTGACACATCAGTGCAGTGAGCTCTCAGCAGAGTGGCGCTTCCGGAGTGTAAATCAGTCAGCATTTGTCGCCACCTAGTGGCTGCTCTTATTGTTGTAACTCACTCCAGAGAATGGCTCAAGTCTTTCTTGGACATAAAAACAAATCACAGCTCTTGCTGCTGCTAGAGGGCGTACAGACACCTGCAGCAGGAGGTGACTGCACTCTTTAAAGGTATCCTTGCAACAAGATATCTGATAAGTACAATAATTATGGCTTTGGATTAAATATGTTCATTTTACAAAGCAAACATCTCGATTTTTAATTTTTGCATGAAAGCAATCCTGTTAAATTCACATTACATGTAAATACTGCAACAGCATAATTAAAGGGTTGAGAGCATGGCATCTTTTGTATTTTTTGTTAATAATTTCAGCATTTTAAAAATTAAAATA